TTAGCTTCCGCAATTCCATTAGATGTGATTTCTTTCGCAGAGGTGAAAGGAAATTGCATCAAAGTAATAAGTCTAGCTGAATAAACCAAGTGAATAAAATTTCACTTCTTATTTCCCGAATGAAACTGTGGTATCATGTTTAGCAAAGAAGGATTCTCTGCTAGAAGGTGTATCAGTAACTTTGCTGTAGCTGCATCAAATGAGAAGCCCCTTTCATTCATTTCCTTCAAAAAAGTTGTAATTTCACTGATTTTGCTAAACTTGAGAAATCCTCGTAGAACAACATTGTAGGTGCCATTGTTTGGCGAACAACCATTCTCCTCCATTTTTCTTAACATATTTTTAGATTCATCTAACAATCCTTCTAGACAAAATCCATTTATAATTGTGTTGTATGTTATCACATTGGGAAACAATCCAATTAAAGAAAGCTTCTCAAAAACAGCATGAGCTTTGTCAAGCGAACCATTTTTGCACAATCCATTAATTACAACATTGTACAATTCAATATCAGTATTTTCTCTCTGTATTTCCAACTCATGAAATAGCGACATAGCTTTCTCAACAAGTCCATTCTGAAAATAACCACGGAGCAAAATGAGATTAGTGCATAAATTAGGTTTGAGCCCCGTAGATTGCATCTTAACAAAGAATTTTTGCGCAAAATCAGTTCTTCCAACATCAAATAGACCTTTCAAAATAATACTGTAGGTGAAAATGTCAGGTCTCAATCCATTTCGAGAAATTTCATGAAACAAATGCATGGTCTCATCCAATTTATTGTCCTTACAATATCCATTTATTAATATGTTATAGCTAACAATGTCAGGCTTAATGCTCTTACCTATCATGGAATCGAAAAGTCTCCTTGCTCTATCCATTTGACCGCGCAAGCAATATCCATCAATTATCACATTGTAGGTGACCACATTAGGCTCCACACCTTTTCCAATCATGTGTCTCATTACCTCTTCGGCATCTTCAACTTTTCCTTCTTTGCATAGTCCATCGGTTACTATAGTCAAGGTGCAGACATCTGGATAAATATTAAGATTTACCATTTCGAAGAACAAAGTCCTAACCTCTTCCCACCGACCAAGCTTACAGAAACCATCAATCAATGAATTATATGTGACAACGTTTGGAGGAATGCCTTTTTGTTTCATCTCTTCAAAAAGGCTAAATGCGGCATCCAACATTCTATCTTTGCATAGGGCATCTATAACAATGTTATAGATGTATGTATCGGGCTTAGTGCTTCCTTGTTCCATTACCCTAAGCAAATCAAAAGTTTTTTGAGTATGGCCCCTTTTGCTAAGCCCATTCATGACAATCGAATACATGAATTCGTTAGGCTCACAAATATCCTCTCTCACCAACTTTTTGAACAAGTTAACTGCGTCTTTGATCTTATTTTCAGCAAAGAGTCCCCTTAGTAAGGTGCTAAAGGTGACAACATCAAATGGAATGCCATTCTTCAAGTAAATGGCTAACATTGAAAATCCGCAGTCAGAACGATGCATTAGGCAATAATTGTTGATCACTATATTCAAGATGATATTATTAATTGGGATGTTCAATTTCAGCATTTTTCGAACAAGTGAAATAACAGCAGAGTAATGCTTCATGTTTACCATAGTCTTTAATAATTTCGAGAAGCTAACAACAGAAGGAAGAGGCTGCGTTCTGATCATCCGACGAAAGAGGCTCAGAGCATCATCTAAACACTTGACATTCTCGATATTGCAGTGAAATGAAGAATAATATCTGATTGCAAATGCCGAAGCAGAAGGTGAAATAGCAGAAAAAGAGACAAAGCGAAAAATACCATTGGAAGAGTAACGAAGCAGAGAAATTCTCGTCATCTGATTGCAATTGCCGAAGAGAAAATTATTGTATGCTATCTCTGTATGCCCTAATTTTTTCAGAAAACTTGTTCGTGATACTATTTAGTAACTGTATTATTTAGGCTGATTTTTCATATTTAGGTAAAAGTAATGGATTTTCGGCCAATTCGTTTAGGCTGATTTTTTATATATTTAGCTAAAAGTAATGGATTTTCGGCCAATTGTTTGACGGGAAGTGCACGATTAGCCATGTATTTATTTTAAGCCACTGTTTAAAATGTTTTTTGTTTTTAGCCACTGTTTTAATAAACTTTAATTGCTCGGAAGAAAATATGCTTCCGCTCACGTCCTTAACTTTTGTACTTTAGAACTACATGTCCTTAACTTTTGAACTTGAAACTCTAAGTTCAGGACTTCAGGACTATATGTACTTAACTTTTGAATTTAACTTTAGGACTTCAGGACTACATATCCTTAACACAATTATCTAAACTTTTGAATTCCTAATTATCTGTTGTTTAAGAAAATCTAAAAGTCACTTCTTTTAGAAAATCAAAAGTCACGTCCTCCCACGTCTGTGATTATTATGAGTGAATGGTTTACCAGGCAATTCAACTCCTGAAAGCAGACACAAAAGGAATATGAGAGGCTTATAAAATTTATATGATTAATGCATTTCGTTTCTTCTGTTCAAAATTGGATTTCATATATGAAAATAATGGAAACACTCATACGCACCCCAGAACGCCATTGCAAAAGGAGAAGTGGAGCTATAAGGAATGAATCTGAAAATGGCGTATTTCCGTTTGGGAAGGAAAGGGTAATACTGCCTTTTCGTATTAATTTTAATAGACTAGTGGCTACTTTTGCTCAACATTAAAAATGCTGAATAAAAAGTAAATATCACTTAAAAAGTGGTTACCCCACACAATTTTTACTTCGTTTGACAGATTTGCACCCAAAAAAAATACGCAGGTTGAAAAATTATCATTTATCTAAAGAAGAAATAAAAAGTATATATACAGTTGAAACTATATTAATTTGGATAAAAAATTTAATTGGTTTAGAATACCTGCAACTTTTTTTATTAGAATTTGACCCTGAAACAAAATGCACAATTTTAATAAATAGCCACTACATCTAGAGAAAAATTATTAAAAATACACAATTGAACTCCATGTTTTTGGCTAAAATAGAGTTTTTCCAGCTAAAAATAATGAGCTTTAGCCAAAAAAGAATTTTATATAGATTTGGCTCGAAAAGAAGAAATATACAAATGGAAAAAATAGTCATAGCATCTAAAGATGATTAAAAGGAATTACGTAGATGGCAAAACTTTATTTATTTGGCTAAAAAATAGAGTTCAGCCAGATTTTTTTTTTTTACATATTTGGCCCGAAAAAGAAAAAATACACAGTTGAAACAAATAATTATTGAATCTAAAAAAAATGCAAAGCTAAGATAAATATGCATTTTATATTTTGGATGAAACAAGAAGAAATACTAATTTGGAGCAAATAAATAATTTTATGACTACGTGAAAATATGAAAATATCCCATGTCGCAATGGTGTGGGGCGTCAGAGGCTGTTATCTCGTGGCCAACTCGAAGGGGCTGAGGTTCGACGCAAAGCTTTTTGGTTGTTAAGTAACAGCGTAAGTCCTTCTGGTTTGCATTAAAGTGGCTTAAGTAGCCCCCGAGGAGTTCGTTTATTCTTTACGTCTGAGTTTCCAAAGATATGACGACCGACAGCATCTAATGGATCCCCGTTGGCAATAACCACGGTAGTAGTTGCGGAACTACTGGGTCGGGAGAGGACAACCTCTTGTTCCCGATCCTCTTTCTTCGCTTCGGGGACGGAGGTCCTACAGTAGGTAACAGTAAGCACAAGCAAGTTGACCGAAGGGGACCAACACATCTACTCCTCCGCCGAGGTGTCGTTCTTATATATAAATGAAGGTGCCCATTATATAAATCCTCACTATCCATGTCGTTCATATGAGTTCATTTCTAGTCTTAATATATGTCTTCAAGTTTTCTACAAACTATATATTTCCTCTGTTCCATTTCATATAGCAAACTTTCCTTTAGTATGTTCCAAAAATAGTGTGTATATATATTTGGCGAAATACATAAACAGCCCCTACAAGTTGTCCTCAATGGTCAGATGGACACCTCAATTGACCCATTTATCATTTAGACACTTCAAATGACTATTAAGTGTATCAAGTAAACATTCGAGTGGAGCAGACTATATGCATGAGTTACACTTGCCGGGTGATGTGTCAATAAACCAATTAAAGAATGACAAGTGTAATTTATAATTAAAATATTTGACACATGTAATTAATAAGAAAATAATATCTTTTTCCTTATTTCCAACTACACCATCCCCCCCCCTCCCCGCCC